TGCACTTACCACCTCACGCAAATGGTGTATCTGTTTTTGCATGTGTTCCACTGTCAATGGCGGTGTGTGGGACCTTTGTGACAGCTCTACATCAGAGGTATGCACCATGGCTCTGGAGGTACTGGGTGTTGGGGTTGATAATGCTTCACTGTGTCTATTCATGATTCACAACAAAACTAAGTCACTGATATCGTCACTTATTTTTGATATTGTTTATTTAACGTTTGTATTTGTTCTTTATCCCACTTCTGAGATGTAAGAAAATTAAATACTAAACAATTAAAGTAAAAACTGGTAATATAATAGGTGAAGAGTAATTCACAGCGTGTTAACATGTTAACAGTATATTAATGAATGTCTGTCTCAGGAGTATTCTGTCCGCTTCCAAATCACAATGTTTATATTGAAATAGCGCCTATTCATTACTTATAACCCAAACAAAGTCGTCTAAGGCTGGCCGGCTATGTAGAAATTCCAAACGCCAATCTTGTACCGCTTACAATAGTCTTGCTGATAATACTTTTATGCAAAGATATACAAATAGTTATAAATATACTACAAAACTGTATAAATTATTTTTATGAACTATGAATGAATTATATTCTATTTTATTTTTTATTTATGAGTACCAAAATACAGTTAGTCAACCTTAGAGAATCTGTTGATACATGATTTACATAATACTTCTACATAATAATTATTAAATAGTACCACTCTCTAAGCGTTTTAGAAAGGAATTTTTATCTAAAACTCACTAAAGATTTCATTGTTAAAAAATGCCATTGGTATCTAAAAAAATTCACAGGAACGAAGAACATTTAAAAAATATAAAACTAGTAGATATACAGGGTGTTAAAAAAAGAGTGTAAAATATTTAAGGAGGTAATAGTATGAACCAAAATAAGCAGGAAAGTCTCAATAAACATGGGTCCGCAAAGTAACGGTTGCGGAGATATGTAATGTTTTATGTTTTTTAGCCCCTTTTTTTATTTTGCAAAAACGTTGTGTATTTTCTTATAATAGTTGGTTGATGTTTAGTGAAATAAACAGTACGTATTTGACAGTTGTTCTCAGTGCACAAGTTTTCTTTCGCTATGGCTGGTTACTCTAACGCAGAATTAACAGACATGCATTTCATGTATGGTCGTGCTAATGGGAACGCCACCGAA